TGATAATGCAATTGTTGTTCACTGTCGTTATGAATAACTTTTTCTGTTGTTCAAGGCTATAAATGCAACATAAATATTTCTTACCTTAAATCGTAGTTGCTGGTGTCTGTTGATGATTGTGAAGGAGGGAGTGGAGAGGCATGCTGAGGCCATCTGGGCTGAGGTAGATGGTAGTCCATTCAGTAACTCAGTCCAGTCAAATGAGTCAGTAGGTCAGTCAAGTCAGAACAGTCATTCAATTCAGTAGGTCATTCAAGTTAGTAGGTCACTCATTTAAGTCAGTCAGTCAAGTCATTCAGTAAATTGGTAAGTCAATCAGTACAGTCATTCAGTACTCAGTCAAGTTGGTCATTCAAGTCAGTAAGCTAGCCAAGTCATTCAGTAAATCAGCCAAGTCAGTAAGTCAGTAAATCAGTCAAGTCAGTAGGTCAGTCAGTCAAGTCAGTAAGTCAGTAAATCAGTCAAGTCAGTAGGTCAGTCAGTAACTCAGTAGTCACTAAATAAATCAGTCAAGTCAGCAAGTCATTCAGTAAATCAGTCAGTCAAGTCATTCAGTAAATCAGTCAAGTCAGTAGGTCAGTCAAGTCAGTAAATCAGTCAAGTCAGTAAATCAGTCAAGTCAATAATTCACTAAATAAAATGTCATTAAATATATCAGTCAAGTGAGTAGGTCAGTAAGTCAAGTCATTCAGTAAATCAGTCAGTCAAGTCAGTAAGTCAGTGAAGTTGGTCAGTCAAGTCAGTAAGTCAGTCAAGTTGGTCAGTCAAGTCAATAAGCCAGTCAGTAATCAGGTCAGTCATTCAGTAAATCAATGAAGTCAGTAAATCAGGTCAGTCAGTAAGTCAGTCATTCAGTAAATCAGTAAAGTTATTCAGTAAATCAATCAAATCAGTAAGTCAGTCAAGTCAGCAAATCAGACAACAGCCCTGGTTATTCATTGCACAATCCCCTATATCTGCTTCACTCTTTTTAATCATACATACAAATTGACACTTCATTAACCCGTAAACGGTCCAAACGTATGTAAGTTCTTACTGTTAGTGCCCCGAATATTTAAAAAAAAAAAATCTCTTTTTATACAGAAATAAAGAGCACATTTTTGTAAGTGTTTTAGGATAAAAAACAAAATTAGGGTCAGTACTTAACGAGATATGAGGCCACGAAGTTGGCTCTTGGTGATCACCTGACAGCAACATCGAGTCCTGCCGCTTGCCGATATACCTTTTTTTCTCATTTTGAAATTATTTTATATAATTTTTATGTTCTGATAATTACAATTTATAATAGTTCTTGTCATTTCATAACCAATCTTTGTTCTGACACTAATATTAGGTTCTAAAATTGTACTCAAATTGTCACAAACACACTGACTAGTGGACATTTACACCTGCCTTGGTCATTTACTATTGTCTAGGAATATATACAAAATATTTATATACAAAATATAGGAACATATACAAAATATTTTGGATGAGTATACAATAATAAAAAGAAAGAAGAAAGAAGTAGCAAGAAGGAAGAAGAAGAAGGAAGAAGAAGAGGAAGAAGAAGGAGGAAGAAAAAGAAGGAAGAAGAAGAAGAAGAAAGGAAGAAGAAGAAAGGAAGAAGAAGAAAGGAAGAAGGAAGAAGAAGAAGGAAGAAGAAGAAGGGAAGAAGAAGGAAAAGAAGAAAAAGAAGAAGAAGAAGGAAGAAGAAGAAGGAAGAAGAAGAAGGAAGAAGAAGAAGGAAGAAGGAAGAAGAAGAAAAAGAAGTTCCCTTCAAGCATGATGTAAGACAAGTCAGTGACAAGCTCGGCGAGGGTGCATGACATTTGATGAGCGGTCCAGTGATAAGATGAGATAAGGGGTGACATTTTGATGAGCGCCTGCGAGGGTCCAGCGATAAGATCCGGCAAGGCAGTGATAAGATGAGATAATTGGTCACATTTGATGAGCTTGGTATCTCTCTCTCTGCTTATCTGTCTCTCAGTCTGCTGGTCTCTCTCTCTGCCTCAGAGAGAGCCACTGTGTACCAACAGGTATTCTTACACATTATATCTACAAGCACAGTAAAGTACTTTGTCTGGATTTTTGGGGTTATCCTAGGTAATTTACACTATGTGTAATTGTATTTATGTTTACCTGTGAGACAGAGACAGAAAGAGAGAGATAGATAGAGACAGAGACAGACAGATAGAGACAGACAGAGATAGACATGTTCCAGAATAGTTTCTCTTTACTTAGGGCATAGGTTATAAGACATTCTGAGAGGGTGTTGCACGAATGTTGCACAAGGGTTATTATCAAGGATTTTGATATTTTCTCGACCACTTGTGGCCACATCCACCTCAAAGTCACTAAACTTGGGGTCAACATCACTTTCCACTTAAAAGGGGAATGTTAATACGACATGACATCAGTGAATCCTTGGTGTTTGCTTCACTTTTTTCTCTAGTTGGCACTCAATTTAACTGGTGCTCCCACAGGGTACTAACTGGTCCCAGATTTTTTTTAATACAGTGCACACCGAGTGTTAAGACACATTCTATGCTGACCAGGCATCTCAGGCCAATCCTGCCAAATTTGGAGGCAGGAAAAATAAAACGTAAATATACATTTGGGGCACTAGCGGTAAGAACATATATATATATGTTTGGACCTTTTATGGGTTAAGGACATAAGCCCTCGCCATGACCACTACATAGGCACCACATTTAAACTTACCTAATATCTTGATTTTCTTCATAATTCCAAGATTTGAATTTTTTTTTACTTTGTCTTGCCACTTCCTACATCACTTGCATGCCTCCTAGGTGCCATGGGAAGTGTCCTTGGTCCCCTGCTCTTCCTCATATACATCAATGATCTTCCAAACGTATCCCAACACCTGAACCCCATTCTCTTTGCTGACGACACGACTTATGTCATCTGTCACCCTAATCTTGCCACCCTCAACACCATTGTTAACGAGGAGCTGATCAAAATATTGACTTGAATGACAGCCAATAAGCTTATGCTTAACACTGACAAAATCTACTACATTATGTTTGGTAGCAGAGCAGGAGTTGCACAAATTAACATTAAAATTGACAACACTCTAATTGCCAGACATAATGAGGGCAAATTCCTAGGCCTATACCTCGACAACAACTTGAATTTCAGCACCCATATCCAACACATAACCAAAAAAGTATCCAAAACAGTTGGGATCCTCTCCAAGATACATACAAAGTGCCGAAAAATTTGCCCTTCTCACACTGTACCACTCACTTATTTTATCCATACCTCACCTATGCTATTTGTGCTTGGGGATCAACTGCAGCAACACACCTAAAGCCAATAATAACCCAACAAAAAGCCGCAGTAAGAATAATCACTAAATACCACCCTGGCAACACACCCCCCCACTCTTCTTTAGATCTAAACTTACCCCCTGTTCAGTACATCCACACTTACTACTGTGCAATCTACAACTAAGGACCTTAAATTCCAATATTAACTTGACCTAAAACACTTTCTTGATAGTTGTGACGGGACCCACAGGCATAACCCCAGACCCCAAACATCTCTATGACATTCCCATGTCCGACTAAACCTTAACAAAATTCAAGTATGTAAAAGGCCCTAAAATCTGGAACACCCTACCTGAAAACTCTAGAAACTGCAGACACATTTCACCTTCAAAAACTACCATTAGAAAACATCTTATCTCCCTGATACACCCTGTCAACTAATTACACAAATACCACCTGGTGGTTTACACTTACACTCACTCACCCATTTGACCATAAAAAGAAATACCAATCTCAATCTTAAAATAATGAATCTTAACTAGTCATAAGTTGGCCCGTGATTCTCCAATACTGAAACTCTGTATTGTGCCAAAACAAAAGCATTCACATTGCTAAACTCACAAACTAGTATTTAGTCACTTAGCCATAATACCAACTTACCTCATACTTTGTAATATTTTAAATTTAAAATTTAAACTAAGTTTGCCCGAAATGCCTAGCCATGCTAGGTGTTCTAGTGGTACACTCTGTAATTATTATTTTACTACATGTAAACCACACAATACCCAAATTCTGTAAACTCAGCATTGTAATCCTTATAGAGAATAAACTTTGAATTGAATTGAATGGTTACTTGGCAGATGCAATGTATGGGAATTTCAGCGCCACAAGCTGGATGGCGGAGAAGATCCCTGCCATCCAGCTTGTGATGCTGAAATTTTTTCCCTCCCAAGAAGTAAAACCATTGAAACTGAATTTTACGAAGTGTGAAACGAAAATATGCCACAATTTGACAATAGTGTAAGGGAAAAAACATTTTATAGGGAACAGTTTTAATCGACAGTCAACTATACCACAAAATTCACAAAAAATAAATTAAACCAAATTAAAATACTTAATCTGCCAAAAATTAGTCTTATTTTTTTCAACACGTTGGCTGTCTCCCACCAACTCAATCTCACCCAAAAAAAGAAACACTTTCACCATCATTCATCACTTTTACCATCATCCACGCAATCACTGTCTTTGCAGAAACACTCAGATACAACAGTTCAGACATCACTCCAAACAGCAAATGTTCAAAACCTCTCCTTTAAAGTGCAGGTACTGTACTTCCCACCTCCAGTATTCAAGTCCGACTAACCAGTTTCCCTGAATCCCTTCACAAAATATTACCCTGCTCACACTCCAGCAACTCATCAAGTCCCAAAAACCATTTGCCTCCATTCACTCCTATCTAACATGCTCACACATGCCTGCTTATTTAAATTCCAACCAAACACTAATTATCTAAATTATTAATGCTCATGATTAGTCACAGTTTGTTACCCCTGTACCCTAGTAATAATTATTTCAGCATGATACAATGCTTGTACAGAGTTGTTTACATATGCCAATACCAACTAAAGATGTTAGAATAATATTTGTTTATTAAATTTACACCTAAATTAAGTAACCTTCACATATTTTAGTTTCAATATATCCATGATACCACAGTGGAGTACTCACAAGGTCTGCAGTGGCAGCAGTGTCATCTTCAGCATAGTACAATCTAAGTATTGCAGCAGTCCCTTTCAGTGCAAAGTAAAAGAATCTGTTGGTAAAATAAGGTTAAATCAGTATTCTACAATTTCTTAATTTTAAAGTGATCTTTTATACATGGGAAGATACAAATTTACATATGACCCAAGGTACACTTATAAACAAGGGGCAGAATTAGATATTATACATCAAATGAGACATGGAGATATTAAGATGTGTTTCTTCAATGTAAAAGTGGAAAATAAGTGGAATAAGTACTGACAAGTGGAAGCCAACTACATGCAGGCATTCAGAAGCAGGTACAGTAGGGCCCCCTCTTATACGGAGGTTAGGTTCTAGGCTGCTGCCATAAAGTAGAAATTGCCATAAAGCATAAAGCCATTTTTTCCACTTATAAATGCATATACATGCCAGATAAATTTACACTAACATATACTAAATTAACAGTAGAACTAAGCATTAAAAAATAATAAAAAGTAAAATACATAAAAAAACATTCATTACTTACATTAAAATATTTGTAGTCTCAATGTAAGGCAAGAGGCGAGTAGTATTTATTGTAGGAAGTCAGGTGTGGTAGATATGGTAGCCTAAATAACAAAAAAAGGCACAATACCGTGACTGGAACGATACACAAATAAAATGGTCCAAGTCGGACCGAAACGTCGTCGTAAGCTTCTCTCTTTTATGTGCGGGTTATTTGTATATGGTAGCCTGCCTGGCTACCACACCTACACATAATACAGTAGAACTTCTACTTGTGAGCGCATCCACAAGTGAGTTTTTCCAAATACAAACAGTCGATGGGTCGATTTTTTGCTTCTACATGCGAGCAAAATTTCTATAAGCGAGCAAACCTCAAGGGAGGTTCCTTGATGCTGGTGAAGGGCTTTTGCTCTTGATCTAGGGAATTGGATCTCATATGTTTTTTGGACCATTTTATTGAAACTTGGGCAATGTATGAAGGAAAGATGCTTCTAAACATACACCAAAAGTGAAAGAAATCAGAGCATAAATAATGGAGTTCACTTCTCAGCAATTAGCCATCCCTTAGTTTTATTTTAGTATGGTTTTTATGGTTGTATTCTCATTTTTTTTGTCTCATTTGAAAGAATGGAAGATATATTACAGAAATAGATATGATTTTGATTACTTTCACGATGAAAAGTGCCTTGAAATTGAGCTCAAAGTAGGAGAAATGTTCGATTCTTTAAAAAATGTATTTTTTGTTAATTTTTGGGTGTCTGGAACGGATTAATTGTATTTACATTATTTCTTATGGGAAATATTAATCCAGTTTTCATACATTTCGGATTCAGAACGACCTTCTGCAATGGATAAAGTATGAAAAACCAGAGTTCCACTGTTTATAATATACAGCAGGAGCCCCTGTATCCACAGGGAATATGTCCCAAGGCCTACTGCAGATACCTGAAACTGTGGATAGTAGCAAACTCTATATATAATTTTTCATTTACATACATATCTATGATAAAGTTAAAATGATAAGTTATGCACAATAAGAGGAGAATTAGCACTTTTTTTTAATGGGAAGAACTTAATGGCTTCTCTTAGGTACTGAAGAACTGCCACCATCACTACGTTTGTGCTTGGATGTCATTATTACAGTGGACCCTCTAATTTTGTGATTAATCCGTTCCAGAGAGTCTGCTGAAAGTTGAAATTCACAAAAAATCGAAACCATTTTCCTCATAAGAAATAATGTAAATCCAATTAATCCATTCCACACACCCAAAAGTATTAACAAAAATTACATTTTTTAGAGATTAACCCTTTGACTGTCGAAACCCCAAATCATGAGGTGCCTCTTGGTGCCGCAAAATATTTGAAAAAAAAAAAAAAAAAAAAAAAAAAATCTTATGAAATGACAGAGAATCTTTTCCCGATGGTAAAGACACCAAAAGTACAAAATTTGATGGAAAACTTACAGAATTACGCTCTCGCAAAGTTAACGACCTCAGCGATACTTAGGAATTGGCGATTTCACCCACATTGAGTCCTATTTTCGGCTAATTCCATTGTTCCAGTTGACCAAACTCATAACTATTTCTTTAGAACTCCATTTATTCTATCGACTGAGTACAAGAAACTGCCCATTTACCGATTTCAAGTACCCAATAAAGTGGTCAGAAATTGGCAATTTGGCCAATTTCAGGCAAATTAAAAAAATTAAGCCAATTTCAAAATAGGGTCCAGAATAAACAATGCAGACATTCCTGGCTCTAAAATAACATTTTTTTTTGTTTATCAGTCACGTCTCCAGGCCCCTCTGATATTACTCTTGCTTTCTATTTTGAGTTTTTATTCAAACAAAAAATAGAAGATTTACTGTTATGCAGATTAATGCAATATTGTAATAATTGTATAAATAACATCAACCCATTCATGACTGCATATTAGAATGGCTAGTTGGACATTTATTTGACAATATCATTTGTTTACTCTTGAACACTGGCAAAAATCAAACATTTCCCCTACTCTGAGCTCCACTTCAAGGTCTTTTTCACAGTAAAACCAATCAAAATCACCTCTATTTCTATAATATGCTTTCCATTCTATCAAATGTGACTACAAAAACAAGAATATAACCATAAAAACTATATGAAAATGCACCTTAAAATCAGCGTTTTAATCCAAAAACACGGTCGGAGTTTTTTTTCTCATTATGCACTGCGTGCTGCAGGATTGTCTTTATATGGTGCACACTGACCACATAGACCCATTCTCTCACATGTGGGCCTACCAGTTTTCTCCTGCTTGATTTGAAGCCGCTAGAATTTTTGAGTATACATAAAAATGTCAAACACGGTGGCTCGTAAGACGTATATATACGACCAAAACAGTCAAAGGGTTAAATATAGATTTACATACAGAAAGGAATGACAAATCAATATAAAGCAATAATAAAATGCATAAATGAACATTTAACATCACACTTACCTTTATTGAAGACTCTTGTTAGTGTATGGAAGACAGGGAGGAGGGGAGAGGGAAGCGAGTTTATTGTTTGGAGACAGAACAAGATGCTTCAATATTATGCTAATATCAACTCTACAGCTTATTTATCTACCACAATTCATCTAATATTACATACTAAACAATATTACTAACATAGAAATATGACATACTATATTCTAGAATGAATAAAATAGTATGTCATTACATATGTTAGGAGTGGTGGTGGTGGTTGTTGGGTTTATAAGGGCCACTGACAGTATAAGCCTACATATCAGTGGTGGTGGTGGAGGCGGCAGCATTGTCAGTGGCCCTATATAGCTCCAATAACATTGGAGGAGTTAAGTTTCATGCCATCCTTTTTCAATTGATTAATCTCTTAACTTACTTGCTACACTGTTAATGCTACACTTTATTGCTGACTGGTGCTATAGCCTTCATCGATTCGTGCTGCTGTAGTATCGTACATATTGTAGAATCACTGAAGAGGGTACATTCTCCCCTCTCTCTTCCTCTTCCACTTTGGTACTTTGCTACGATTTCTTTCTTTAATTCCATCATGTTTCTCACCTTCTTTACTAAAGGGCTGGCACTAGGAGCTTTCTTTTGGCCCATGGTGGCTTATTTAGCAGTTGCAAGCACAAAAACAATGGATTATTAGGTATGAACATGTGGGGTGATGGTCACTCGCCGAGAAACAATGCCAGACTAACTCTGAATGGTGTGTGGGAGGCTTTATGTGTGCACGGCCACTGGGACATGTTTCGTACGACCACTGATTTTAGATGTAAGTCGTAAGTCACGAAAATAAAAGCTATATTTTGATAAAAAAAAGTTGCCGATAATCGAAATTCACAAAAATAAAGCCTCATGAAATTAGAGGTAGTATTGTAAGTAAAATTAAGGGTTATTTTTGGACTACGGTAAACCGTGAATAACTCACACTGTGAAAACCGAACTCACTGATATGTATAGTAATTAAAATAATTGATCTCTCACCTCACACATGAGACAGCTTGTGGCGAATAGAGCTTTGAAGAGATTAATGCTGAGTTTAGTGCACTGCTATTCCAGTTATTGCTTGCTCTCAGTACATGCCCATTTTCAGTTCCTGTAGTGTGGTCTATTAAAGGCACATCTTGACCATCAGCCCATACCCACTTGGGGTCATTTGGGCCAGGGCTTCCAAGAGGCTGCCATCCACACATGTGATCACTCTCAAAGTCACAAGACTCCTCTGCAAATATTCCATTATTATTATTATTATTTCTATATCACACACATATTTTACACACACCTCATTCACTCACTTGTACTCTTTAGAAGCTAAATGTATTTCAGTCACTGAGCAATCAAAGAAAGGTATTCCCATATTTCACAAGCAAAGGGAATAGTAGAAGGTAATCACAATTTCAAATCAGTAAAATAAAAATTATTTATACATGAATATGAATTTTGGTAAATAGATTATGTGTCATATGCATGCACATAAACTACATCACACAGAAAATGAGACTGCTCACCATAACCTATTGTTTTAACTTTCCAATGGCTATCAGACAGAATAATGTCACTAAAACCAGAATCCCTTACGTAATTCTACGTCATGACCTCAGGGAATAGTGCTGACACATTACCAGTAAAAACTTGTGAAAGCACTAATATCCATATGGGGGCAGTAGATAGAGGGGAAACAGAAAAAATGCACCAGCAGCAAATTCAGCCACAAAATATCCAAGCAAATAAAATTCCAATCTATGCAAATTCTATGTCTTGGGTATCTGCAGGCATGGTATATCTATTAAAACAGGTGGGACATACACCTCTGACCATCTCAAAAAAATGGCGTACTCACATGACAATAGGAGGGTGCAACTCCCCTTCCTGTAACTTATTTCATCCCGAAATGTTTCACTCGTCACTCCATGAAAGAAAATGCTATAACATATACTGCCAGGCATGTCATCTGAAGGGGACAAGAAGACACAGACCAGCTGGACTATGGGAAACAAAAGAAGGGAGCCATAACCTCTCCAGAGAAGGAAGTTTGTTAGTGCCATGGAGGAAAAAAGACTGGCAAAAAATGACAGAAATCTTACACCAACTGAAAACACTTCTGGAGCAGAGGCACAGTTATTGGCCTTCACTCCAGAACAACAGATATTAAAGCCAGCAAATGCCCCCCTAAATTCCATCAATATAACAACATTTATCATTGCAAACATACAGGGTCTACAGCCGTCAACAAACAACAAAGTTCCTTACATCAATGGACTGCTCACGGAGTCAAATGCAATGTTTGCAGCTTTCACAGAGACCCACATAGAGGACCATTTTGACAGTAAAATATTGATCCCAGGTTATAACCTATTCAGATGTGAGAAACTAAACAGGCAACAAGGGGGTTCACTTGTACATCACAGAGTCGCTCATTTGCTCAAACCTACTAAACGCCTCAAATGATATAGTTGAAGTTTTGGCAGTAAAGAATGAAAGCCAAAACCTTATCATTGTGGTGGTATACAAGCCTCCAGATGCAACTTCCCAGCAATTTCAGGAACAGCTTTTGAAAATTGACCACTGTCTGGAATATCTCCCAACTCCTGCCCAAACATCTTGCTACTAGGAGATTTCAACTTGAGACATCTAAAATAATATTTTAGCAGAGATCACCCCAGGAGGTAGCTCAGATGAAAATTCACACCACACATGAACTATTAAATCTCTACATCAAATTCACCTTAAACCAGCAAATATTAGAGCCTACAAGACTAGAAAATATGTTGGACCTCATCTTCGCTAACAACGATGATCTAAAATGTAATATAACCATATCAAAGACAATACACTCAGATCACAACATAATACTGGTAAGATGTATGCAAAGGGCTTCTGTACCAGCAAATAATGTGATCAGTCATGAAGGTTCTTCACCAATTCAGCTTCAATAAAATAAATAAATGGGAACAAGTCAACCAAGTTAAAAAATACAGCTGGGAAGATATCCTAAACAACACGGATCTAAACTTGCCTAAAAAATAATTACATACCTGTGGCTCTTGAGGCCTGCTTAGAGGCAATTCCATAGAAAAGGAAAGAGAGATGTATACTAAAAAGAGAGAGATCCCCTTCCCTATACAGACGAAGGTGTAAGAATCCAGTGCTGCTGGAGGGGCCAATTATATTTAAATACGAGGGAAGGCTCATGGTCAGTGAAATAGCTATTCGAACTTAAGGATCTTACAAGAGGCTAGAATCCTCTAGAAGAACTAAAGTCTCAAGGAAATTGAAAAATAAAAGTACTTCTCTGTATGCCAGTAATTCTCAGGAAAAGTATGACATCAAGTACTGGGCCTGTTTCTGTGATGTAGTCAGTGACAAATACGAAATTTCGATCCTCCATCTGAACAGTTTCCCATGGTGGGTCGTTTGCTTTAAGTGAACTACTGGGTCAATCAGTCTAACAATTGTCTTCTAACAACCCAAATCTTGCCATCTCCAACTAACCTCCCACCAAGGTACTTTCCCAACCACAAGGATTCCTCAACTGGCAAAATCCTCTCAGGGTTTAGCCTCAAACCCTTCAAAATCCCTTTTGTCTACACATTCTGGCCACAGATTCTTCCAAACAGAGTTCAAGGTCCTCTTAGTCACTTCCTCCAGCCTTACCTATAAGTTTACACAATTGAGGATATTAAAGTGGATCTCTCCAAAACTCTCTTAGAGTCAGTTGATTTCTGAGGTCATACAAAGCACTTTCAAACAGAGCTTTTGTGTACAGTTTCTTGAAGTTGGAAAATAACCTGCTGGTCCATGGGCTGCAGGAGAGGAGTGGTATTAGGAGGCAAAAACTTCACCTTAATGAAGCTCATGTCCCCATAAAGTCGCTCTGCCACGTCTGTAGGATGACCAGGGGCATGTCTAACACCAGGAGGCACTTAAGATCTAAAATTTCTTTTCAGTTAGTAATCTTTCACATTGGGGGCAAAATGCATGGTGTAACCAGTTATAGAAAAAGTCCCTAGTGACCCATGCCTTACTGTTTGATCTCCACAGCACACACAAATTATTCCTTGAGGACATTCTTTTGCCTGAACGCTCTGGGAGTTTCAGAGTGATACACTAATAAAGGCTTAATTTGCAATCACCACTAGCATTGGCACACATCAACAAAGTAAGCCTGTCTTTCATAGGCTTATGTCCTGGGAGTTGCCTTTTCCTCCTGAGTAATGTAGTCCTGCTTGGCATTTCTTCCAGAACAGGCCTGTTTCATCACAATTAAACACTTGTTCAGGTTTCAGTCCTTCAGTTTCTATATACTCCTTGAATTCTGCACATATTTTTCAGTGCTTTGTGGTCCGAACTGGCAGCCTCACCATGCCTTATCACACTATGGATGCCACTACGCTTCTTAAATCTCTCAAACCAACCTTTGCTGGCCTTAAATTCTCTCACATCATCACTAGTTGCAGGCATTTTTTTAATTAAATGTCATGCAACTTCCTAGCCTTTTCACATATGATCGCTTGAGAGACGCTATCTCCTGCTAGCTGTTTTTCATTTATCCACACCAATAAGAGTCTCTCAACATCTTCCATCACTTGCGATCTTTGTTTCGAAAACACAGTTAAACCTTTGGGAACAACAGCTTCCTTGATTGTCTTTTTGGTGCCCACAATAGTAGCGATGGTTGATTGGGGTTTCTTGTACAACTTGACTAGGTCGGCAATACGCACTCCACTTTCATACTTATCAATGATCTCTTTCTTCATTTCAATGGGTATCCTTACCCTTATTGGTGTACGGTTGGCACTAGAAGCTTTCTTGGGGCCATGGTCACTTATTTTCCAGAAACACCACCGAAAACACTGTAATAATACGAAATATTCCGAGTGTATGCTTGGATGTTAGCGCGGAGGCTGCCTGGTAAACAATGGCATGGGCGGCACATGTGAGGCTGGGTGAGGGCGCACATTGGACGCGTCTCGGACGAAAATCGGTGAGCGGGTTTTTAATCGGTATGCGCGGCAAAAATTTTGCGATTAAAGTAAGCGGTATGCGAAATAATCGCTATGTGATGCCATCGTTATGCGGGGGTCCACTGTACACTCAGATCACAACATAATACTGGTACAGACATGTATGCAAAGGGCTCCTGACCAGCAAAATGTGATCAGTCATGAAGGTGTCTTCACAAAATTCAGCTTCAATAACAATAACATACAATGGGAACAAGTCAACCATGTCCTAAATGAAACAAGCTGGGAAGATATCCTAAACAACACGGATCCAAACCTTTGCCTAAAAAAAATTAACTCTGTGGCTCTTGAGGCCTGCTTAAGGCACATTCCATCAAGAAAAGGAAAGAGAAGATGTAAACTAAAAAGAGAGAGACGCTCCCTATACAGACGAAGGTGAAGAATCACAGTGCTGCTGAGAGGGGCCAATATAATTAAAATACGAGGGAAGGCACTGGTCAGTGAAATAGCAAATATCGAACTTAAGGAATCTTACAAGAGGCAAGAATCTCAAGAAGAACTAAAGTCATAAAGGAAATTGAAAAAAAAAAAAATACTTCTCTTATGCCAAATCTAAGGAAAATATGACATCAAGTACTGGGCCCCTGTTTAGGTGGGATGGGACATACACAGATGACAGCAAAGAAATGAGTGAGATACTAAAGTTCCAATAGGACTCAGTGTTCAGCAAGCCATTACCTAGACTAAGGGTCAACAATCTAAACGAATTCTTTATGAACGAGACCCAAAATTTGGCCATCTCAAAAATCTCTGATATTATCCTAACACCACAAGACTTTGAAAAGGCAATAAATGACATGCCCTTGCACTTTGCCCCAGGCCCAGACTTATGGAACTCCATGTTCATCAAGAACTGCAAGAAGGCCCTATCATGTGCCTTCAGCATCCTATGGAGAGGAAGCAGGGACACAGGGATCACACACACACTAAAACAACAGATATAGCCCCACTCTACAAAGGTGCAGAAAAGCAACTGCAAAGAACTACAGAATGATAGCACTAACATCCCCTATCATAAAAATCTTTGAAAGGGTTCTAAGGAGCAAGATCGCCAACCACCTAGATACCCATCAATTACACAACCCAGGGCAACACGGGTTTAGAGCAGGTCACTCCTGCCTATCCCAGCTACTATGACAAGGTCCTGGATGGTATAGAGGATAAACAAAATGCAGATGTAGTATACACAGACTCTGCA